AGGCATGGGCTTCCTGGACATCCTTAGGGACAACAACTGATGATAACGAGGTGACAAACTGGCGATGGGAAGTGGAAATGTGAGTAAGTGAAACATAATTAGAAATAGGATGAAGGGTGCAAGTGCGTTTACCTTTCCACAAAGCAATGGGAAGATCAAGTTCAGATGTTGAGTGCGGGTCTGGTGCCGGATCTGTCGACGGAGATGTAGCTGGAGGAGTAGTAGCTGGTACGCGTGGGCGATGTGTATACACATGACGGATAGGTGGGCGTTCAACAGGTGGTGGCACTGGAGGCAAGGGTTTGGTCACGGCTGGAACAAAGGGAAGAGGGTTGGCAATGGGAAGTGGAAGTGGAGGTGGTGATGAGGAGGAAGAAGCATCACTGGACCCCAAAAAGAACGGAGTAGACTCAAAGAAGGTGACATCAGCACACACAAAGGACCGTCGAGAACCAGGATGGTAACACCTATACCCTTTCTGGGTCCGAGAATAGCCAAGGAAGATGCACTTGAGAGAACGGGCATCAAACTTGTCATTCCCGGGACCCAGATTATAGACGAAGCAAACACACCCAAATACCCTCGGCGTTAGAGGAAACGGAGACAAAGAGGGAAACAAGACCTGAAACGGAGAATGACCATCAAGGGTGAACGTGGGCATCCGATTAATCAGAAAGCAAGAGGTAAGCACTGCATCACTCCAAAAGGATTTGGGAACATGCATGTGATGCATGAGGGATCTTGCTGTTTCCATGAGATGGCGATTCTTTCTCTCAGCCACCCCGTTCTGCTGTGGGGTGTAGGTACATGAGGTCTGATGTATAATGCCGCGTTGGTCCAGGTATTCCTGAAATGATGAGGATAAATATTCGCGGCCATTATCAGAACGGAAAACTTTGATGTGGGTACCAAATTGGTTACGAATCTCAGCATAAAATTTCTGAAAAATGGTAAACAATTCACTTCTTTCTTTCATTAAATAGAGTCACGCCATCCTTGAAAAATCATCTACAAAAGGGAACACGATGGTGTTTCCCAAATTGACACGACTCACAATCCAAAATAGAAAGCTGACTCAAAGACGGGACCAAAGACTTCAAGACTTTTAGTGACGGATGACCAAATTGGCAGTGCCACTAGAGAGGAGAAAGAGATGAYTGGAGAGCTGTTGAAGTTCTACCACCACCACCGTCAAGATAATACAGTCCACCAGTTTCATGCCCTCCACCAATCTTCATCCCCGTCTTGAGATCCTGAAAAACACACATACAAGGAAAAAAGGTAATGGAGCAGTTAAGTGATTTGGTCAGCTTACTAACAAACATAAGATTAAAAGGCAATTTAAGAACATACAAAACTGAGGAAAGGGATACATGGTCTAGGTCAACATTACCAACACCACAAATTGAGGATGTGGAACCATTAGCAAGGGTGACAGCTTGTGATGTTGAGCAATGAGATAAGGAAGAAAACACACCTGGAGTTCCAGTCATGTGATCGGAGGCTC